TATTTTTTCCAACATGCATTACTTTACACTTATCCACATTAAATTTCATTTGCCATTTTGTTGCCCAGTCACTCAGTTTGGTGAGATCTTTTTGAAGTTCTTCACAGTCTGCTTTTGTCTTGACTATCTTAAATAGTTTAGTATCATCCACAAACTTTACCACCTCACTGCTTACCTCTTTCCCCCTTTACTCCTTAGTCATTTATGACTAAGTTGAACTTATTCTCGTTCCAATGCAAGCATGATTACAGGCCAGAAGTTACAAAAAAAAAAAAAAAATAGAAACAGAAGAGCAAGAAAACATTAACCCTATGAAACACAGGAACCAGTACAGTTGGGACTCTTTGGTCCAGTAACATCAGTGGTCCTGTAGGACCATGAATGTTGTACGACTAGATAGCCACAGTGGCCAAGGTTGCCAGCAGCTCAGAGAGGAGCCAGCCGGCGGGGCCAGCAAGGCACCAGAGCCCAGAGCTGGTTGGAAGATGGATGGAGGGGGTGGAGTTCGTGGGATAGTGGAGCTCACAGCTCAAGAGGGAGGCCACCAGGAGCTCCAGAGGGATGGCAGGGTTGCTGTAAGGCTGCTGGGGATGCCAAGTGCTCTAGTGAGGTTAAATGATAGAATCATATAATGCTAGAACTGGAAGGAACTTTGAGAGGTCATCAAGTCCAGTCCCCTGTCCTCACAGCAGGACTGAGCACCATCATCCCTGATAGATTTCTGTTCTTAAATATTTCCAGTGATGGAGATTCCACAACCCCCACAGGCAATTTATTCCTAGCTATGTCTAAAGTGCAGGTTTTTTTAGAAAAAGATACGCTAATTGCAAATTTGCATATCTTTTTCCGCTTTTTTTCGCAGAAGAGGCTTTTCCGAAATTTGGCCCATCTACACGAGGCCAAATTTCAGAAAAACCTCCTCTTTCAGAACATCCCTTATTCCTCATACAATGAAGAATACAGGGATGCCAAAAGAGCACGTCTGCTTTTTCAGAAACTGTTCCAAAAAAGCGGAAGTGTTCCTTGGACACGGCAGAGCTTTTCCAGGATACCAGAGGTATCCTGGAAAAGCTCTCCCATGTAGACATAGCCCCAGTGTTTAACCACCCTAAAAGAAAGTTTTTCCTGATGTCCAACCTAAGCCTCCATTGCTGCAATTTAAATCCGGTTGCTTCTTGTCCTATCATCAGAGACCAAGAAGAACAATTTTTCTCCCTTTTCCTTGTAAGATCCTTTTATATACTTGAAGTTGTTCTTATTTCCCTTTTCATAGATGGGTACTATATTTGCCCTTTTCTAGTCTTCTGGAATCTCTCCCAACTTCCATGACTTTTCAAAGATGATAGCTAAAGGCTTGAATACCTCCTCTATCAGTTCCTTGAGTGTTCTAGGACGCATTTCATCAGGCCCTGGTGACTTGAAGACATCTAACTTTTCTAAGTAATTTTTAACTTGTTTTTTTTTGTTTTAACTTCTAACCCTAGCCCATTTCCACTAGCTTTCACTATTTTAGGCATGCTGTCTCCATCACATTTCTTGATGAAAACCGAAATAAAAAAGTCATGAAGCACCACTACCATTTCCAAATTTCCTGTTATTGTTTCTCCCTCTTCACTGAGCAATGGGCCTACACTGTCCTTGGTCTTCCTCCTGCTTCTAATATATTTGTAGAACAGCTTCCCCCCCGGGGCCTTCTCAGCCTTCTGAAATAAAAAAATAGTCTCCAATGCAGCCCAAAAACTTACTGGATAGTCTGTGCCCCGCTGTGTTAGGTTTCCAACATATGTCTGGATAGTCAAAGTCCCACAACACCATCAAATCCTGCTCGTAGCACTGGGAGCTCCAGCAGGGCTGCTGTAGCTTGTGTGGCTGGGAGGCTGGAAAAAGGAGCCCAGCAGGGAGGCTGGTGCCCCACTCCCAAACTTCCCATGGTCCAGCAAACATCCTTGTCCAGATTGGTCAGATACCCAGAGTGCCAGACTTATATTATCATTTTGTCATTCTGGCTACATCCTGGACAGGCTTTTTATTGCTAATCCTATCATGACATGGTTACTGATCAGTGGATATGTTTGTATGGAAAGTGAGCCCCCTGGCTTATCAAAACCTTATAGTGTGGGTAGACCAGTTTTAGGTTTAGTAACCCTCTTCCTTGAATATATGGTGCTATTCATTAGACATGAATGATAATTAGAGCGATTCAAGATTTTGATCCTAAATTTACTGGCCTGGTCACAGAATTAATACTAAAGGACATATTATGACAACCTTTTCCATCTCTGATCCCTGAGAAATGCATGCTTCCTGAAGCTCTCATGCTGTTTTATAGGTCCTCTGATTCATCTGCCTCTAACTGCTGTGAAAGCATGAAAGCACACAGCTACTCAAGGTCTCTGAAGACAACCCTCTCTGCCTTTTGTGTTTTATAGACAGCCTGCCCAAGAGTTACCTATATATCATGGTAGCTTACATGCTGCTATTTTGGCTTACCAAAATGACAGTCAATATCTGATCAGAACCATGCTTAAACTTTAAACAAGATTAATCTTCTTTGCTTTGACAAGGAATGTTGCTTTTCAGCTGCAAACTGTAGCTGTGTGTTGCAATTAAAGATTTTCGGTTGAGTGCATCTCAGCTGGTCCTCCGTCTTGGCATGTTTAGTGGGAGTTTGTTTTGATGAAACAGAAAAACAACTTTTCTACAAAAGTACCCCACATTCCTTTGTTCTGACCCAACAGGAAATGTTGCTGTTTCTTTAATTGTTTTAAAGTGAATTTAAGGTTCATGAGGGTGCCAAGCTGACAACTCTGGATTTGTTTCCACCCAAAGAATACATATTGCACAGGTGACTGCAGAGCAAGTTGCCCTACACTTCATCATCTATATGTGTTGGCTTTGAATGTCACACCTCTAAGGGTGAAAGAAAAGTTTATGCTCGATAATCATTTAATCCTTGGCCTCTCTGCTGAGATTGCTTACAGGACACCAGTCATTCTTGAGTCAGTTTGATAGTGAAATCTCCTCACACCATCTGCCTTCTCCCTGTTATACATTTTTTTTAGCTTTGGTTCTCATAACTGAATTTTTCATATCACATTAATGTTTAAGTCTGCAGGCCATGTAGTGGAAGATAGAGTCCAGAGTATATGTTCAAAGAATATTTCTATTTTTCAGTCTTTTGGAAATGACTATTTATTTAAATTTGACTGAATTTCATCCTTCTGCACATAAGAGACTAATAGCATTGTGTAATGGGGTTCTCACTCACTGTAGCTGGTATCTAGTCTGGGCTGCTCTGGGAATTAGTTGTTTTCCAGGTCCGATGCCTCAACCTGTTGTTCTCTCACTCTGCAGCCACTCTTTCTTTCTAGGAGCTAAAGCTTCCTCTTCATGACTTGGCCCTCCAGCTAGGTTGGTATGTGGTTTCCCCTTCTGGGTTATCGAGTCTCACTAGACCCAATTTCTAGGAAATGCCACTTTTGTCGGTGGCTAGTAGTGGAACCTTGGCCCACCACTACTCTGTACCCTTACTACATGCAGTCAAAGTCTGTTCAGTGCTACTCACTTTGTAGGCTGCGTCCTACTCACCAGCTCTCTTTTCCACTCTTCCCTGAGGGCCAGGCTCCTGCTCTGTGGGTTCCCTCCAAGTTTTCTCCTTGATATTATCGGATATGA